GGGGGGGGGGTCGTCAACGTGTGACAGGGCCTAGGGGCTTTCAAGTTCAAGTTTTATTAATAAAATCAGCCTTGCAGCCAGTTTACAAAGTCGACCAAGCTGAATTACACTGATTTTTACAAATTTTGTACATAGTAAATACAGATACACATTTACATGACAATACATATACAGACACGCAAACGAATATGTTACAAAGTCACACAATACACAAGTGCACTGAAGTAAATTCCTTATTATTATTAAAGAATATATTATCAATATTTTATGTATGACTCACCACCCCGGACTGTGCCCTCCACTGTCATGCCACACACGCACGTGGGTCAGACCTCCAATTGGCTGTTCTGTAGACACAAGAAAGGAATCCACGCCGCCTTTCTCAAACAGAAACCGTGTTTGGTCACGGAGAGTGAACGGAGTGGCTTCTCCATATAGGCTATTAAGAGCTATCTTCACCTAAAATCACAAAAGCAAGGTTAGGGTATATACATTAGTATTGGTGTGTTTGCCTGTATATACTATGCGAACTTACATTTCAAGCATCTTTTCTAGATCCAGATAATAATTCTGCAGACATATTTTACTGATAGAATCTTTGAATCTCTTTATGACAGTTATTCAACATATACAGCTGATTATTAAGACAAAGAATTGATGAATTAATAAATATGAATACATCGATATTAAGCTATCAACAAATGTTTTTGCAAAGAGAAGCAAATTGGGTATCGTGTTGTTTTCCTCTCTTCTATGGGTTTGTCTGTAACGATATTTCACCTCAATCCACAGAGTAAAGAATCCAGGATATTTACAAACCGTGTATTTAGGGATGTCTGCCAGATGCAATATCAGTAAGTAATACTGCCAGAAAGGCAACCTTGCACGTATCGAGAACACAACTACATTCGATACAACTACATTCGAAGGCTTCGACATCAAATACTTTCAACCCCAGATTGTAACAGACTGGACTCACGTCATGGGAGGATTTGAGCTACGGTGTTCGTTCGCTGGAACAAATCCTTTGTACAACGTAGCCGTGTGGAACTTAACGGCCGTTTTGTCGTGTTTTTTGTGCTTAGTCAAGTTGTTTATATCTTAAGTACGCTCTTCAACCAAATACAAGAACAATAGCTTCCTTATAAAAGTAATTAGCGGAAAGATAGGTAAGAGGAGAATTCTCATTTTATGCCGCCGGTCACAACACAACAGGCGGTCCTTTAGAATTGCAATGTTTCTGCATGAACAGAACAAGAGAAGAAATATAACACGTATAGCAATCACTGACAAAGGTTATCAATAATGTTGGCATATAGCAGAAAGACATGATGGTTCATTCTTTCCCCGTTATATTGGTGTAAATTAAGTCTTTCCGAAAAATGCATCGGATCTAGGTAATCTAGCGTTCCGTACCTCTGCTGTTGTCCCGGCGTTAGTTCCATATCCGGTGTAAACAGTGATGATATATTGGCAATCCTTCCTGGTGTTCAGCACGTGACCAGGTAAGATTCCGATTCCAGCCTACCAAAAATATCAAACCTGTCATTTACACATTTTCATTGAAACAACATTTTTTATTAATTTGGCAGTCGGACTAAATTTTCACCAATAGATGAATTGTCCTTATCCTGAAAGTTTATCTGGGTTGATAGTAATCACAGTACGATGCTGAATTTACTCCAACACATGCATAATGGTACACAAGGATCAAATTTTCAACGACCACTGTCGCCTTCATCAGGATAGATAATGAACAACCACTTCCTAACGTAAGCCACCGGACAACGCCGTTTCACTGGACAAATAAGACTGGACATTGAGGAAATTGTTTTTCAATACGCCATATACATCAGGACACTGCAGTTATCAGTTAACAAAGACGGTGGACGATATGAACTGTCTACAACGTTTGACGAATTGCTGACGTCACGTATCCGTAAAGTCTCGTGCATCTGTATCTGTATCTGTAAAGCCGGTATAACCGCCCTTCGGCGTAACACACCAGCTTCGCAGGCACGCGGCGCGACGGCAGCTGGCTATATTACACCGATCGACTTGTTACACCTAACCCTTGAACTTCTAGCTCGAGACTTTGTTTAAAGCTATCTAATGACAATGCCCCTACTGTACTTGGTGACAGTGAGTTCCACTCTGCAATAGTTCTAGGAAAGAATGAATTCTGGAACACCTCAATCCTTGGTTGATAACTCTGGTACTTGAAGGCATGGCTATTTCTTGTTCTCTTCTGGGCTGGTATTAGGTACTTAGTACTTGGGACATCCACCAGTTTATTAGTCATTTTGTACATCATGCATAGTCTGGACATCTCTCTTCTGTCTTCCAGTGAGGCCCAAAGTAGGTTTCTTTTCATTTCCGTGACACTAGCACCTCTTTCATAGTTCATACAGAATCTTGCAGCTTGATTCTGTACCCTTTCCAGTTTGTCTTTGTCTTTATTTGTGTGAATAAGATTACGTGTTCGTAACTATCGCAGGGTCACGTTGTGTAGTGATTGGTCAGTAATTATCCTGATGAAGGCGACAGTGGTCGCTAAAAATTTGATCCTTGTGCAGCCTAGTTTTGGAATAAGTTTAGCATAGTACTATGAACTTTCCCTGTTTAATCTTCTATAATTAGTTAGATATGCATTACATGTATTAGATGTAGCATCTGTATTCGATGGAATAGACTTTTAGAAAGATTAATCAAAATGCAATTAAAAAGTTGTAAATACCTTTTGCACATCTTTTTTATCTGTTCTTCTTGACCAAACCATACCAGGAAGGTACAAGACGAATATTGTTAAGACAACAATGAGTCCTATAGGGTTTTCCAGTAACAATTTGAAGTCTGACATCACTTCTTGGATATTGAGAGGGTTTGGCGCAACAAAAGCAGAAAACTTAGTCAGGTGGTTACACCGGCAGTGGATATGTGTGGTGTTGGACAGAAGCCCTTCCTGTAAAATACATAGGGAAGTTGATAAGAAGGGATATAGAATCTCATTTTAGAATCTGCATTTTAGTATCTGCATTTTAGAATCTGCATTTTATATATTAACTGAATATTTCTTGTTCTTGTGATGTTGACGCTGGCAAGTAGCAAAAAGCATCGAGCAAAAGGCATCGGTAACATTAACGTTAAATATCACTCCATGTGTTAAATGAAATACAGACGTACCTGACAGCCACCAGTCTCCCATAAATGTATGTCTTCGCCAAAAAAGACACAAACACTTTCAAATACGTACAGGGTAAAATTTACAGTCTCGTACAAAACTAGGTCTTCCTCGGAGCCAAATCGTACACCTAAAATCCAAGGGTAATATTAGGTTAGATATCAATTAATCAATTAATGGTTTATTTGACATTGCACACAATTATATTCCATTTTGGTTTTATTATATTGAATTAAGGTAATAATCAGTTATTTATACATTTATACAGTATTAGGCAAAAGGGTTGAAACATATAGTTACATAAATGTATTAGGAAAATTTTATATTTAAAAGTCTACTGTATCATCAAAACCAAAATATGCCAAATGTAACAAAAATATTTATGTATATGAAATCGAGTCAATTATTAAAATTAATACCAACTTTTCGATATTTTATTCTATATCAGATAAAAGAGTGAAGTGTAGAGCTATAATAATTCACCATGACCTATCAATCTTAATTTTAGTAAAGACTGATTCTTGTTATGCAAATAAACCTATCTAATCAACTAATACCTTTCTTAGAGAAAATCTTATGCCTGTGTATTTGATTAGAATTCAAACAATCAGACGTTGAGCAAAAACATCTAATATGTGAATCAGACAAGTTCGCGCCGTCAAAATAAGTATACTATTGAGAGGCTATGGGTGTTATTGGTATTACGCTCTTCACCACTTCCTCATTATTGTAATACTTGTGAGGAAAATCAAGTATTTACCGATGTAATATGCAGTCAAATTGTCTACGTCCGACGGGGTTATGTCCACTTCCTCAGCTGACAGTAGCCACTGGTAGGAACTGGAGTTCAGAAACGTTCCGTTCACCCATGGAATAGAGACCATCTGATCAGTCGCTACAGGCAGAACAGCTGCCCAGTTGTAGACATCAGGTGTTGGCGGTTCATCAGTGCGAAGAAACAATGAAATGTCTTGTGGAAAGAGCGTGTCGTTGAACTCAAGACTAAAGCTCAAAGCTGACTGTGGTGTCTTCGCGTAGAACTCAAAAACCTGCGGTGGATACATTAGAATAAAGATGTTGAAGACTAGTAGTATTTGTTATAAGGACCAAATCAATACTAATGATTTTCTTAAGAAGTCCTGAATTCACATTCCTTATGATGTGGGAATTTGATTGACACCTGCCTGTTGGTTATAAGGATATTTGAATAGAAGTCATACTGTTAAAGAAGCTTATTTCGAACTTGGTATTTTATGTTTTACAGCTTCAATTTCTTGGTTAGGGAAAACCTTCAGTGAATATGTGCATATAGAAGAGTTCATATTGAAAAATCAACAATGCATAGCAATGAAATATTCAACCTTTTTTGCAAGCCCATTGTCACACATTCACGAATTTGGCCTCCCGAACACTAGCTGAATCCACCCAACCATGGTTAGGAGTAGGTTGGTGCAAAGTTGGCTGGCGTTCGTCGAGGTCGGCTACTATCATATTCGGCTGCGCCAGTCGAATTCATGTATTTAGAAATTATGCATTTAAAGATATTTAGATTATTCGGGGGTTGCTTGGGTAGTTCTAGGTTCGACCATTGTTGGCATTCCAGAACACCTGTCAACCAGCCACAAGTCAGCCAACCATTATGGAGTAAGTCTGTAGTGTTCGGGACGAGTTTTGGGGTCAAATTTGACAAATATTCAACTCAAATTCGCTACGATTCGTATAGAAAGGTAGGCGTGGTCAGACTGCTCCCGAACGTCAGCCTAAACTGTTAGACAGGTGTTCGGGAACAAATTCGGGGAAGGTCGGGTGACAGGTACTTAAATCATTTAGTCTAGACTTACCGTGAGGTTCCCGAGTAGAGAAGAGGCCTGAAACACGTACAGTGATTTTTCTAAACTCTCGTTCTTTCTTCGGGTTAAGATGTCGATCGGATGACTCAAACCGGAAACAGGAATAGTAACGTTTCCGCATTTTAAACTCAGGCCGATAACGTCAGCGCGAATAGCATGAGAGTTGTTGGAGTACTCAAATGGGTTGAAGTTAGCCTCTAGGAACTGGAAAAAAACATTATATCGACCTAGCCATTAAATAACTGCATTTGTTTATTCACATCATGGATAACCATGCACATGATAATTCTATGAACCATGTCCATGCCAATTCACAACATTGGTCATCATGCCAATGGCTGGAGGGTCATACTGTCAAGGCAGCTGAAATCAGGAGGAGCTAGACTGATGCACTGTGCAGAAGAGAAGTGGATCCGGAGAAAAGCACAAAAAAAACAGAGCCAGCTTACAGACGTGCCCTATGTGGAAGAGACTGCCAGTCTCGTATAGGACTGTTCAACCATAGACAAAGCTGTGGGGCTAATACAAATTAGGATTTTACCATGGTCAATATTGACTGAAGGAAGCCATATATATATGTAACGTTATATGGTAACCATGTCAAGGGGCGTTTGCAAGTCTCAAGCATTGTATACTTTTTATATGACGTCATTTGCGTCATGAGGATGCTGCTAGCAAATTAATTACCCATGAACATGGTAGCAAGTGAATTTATATTATTATGAAAAGGCTTTATATTCTGTATCTGTATAGACGGTATAACCGTCATTGGCAAAGAACATCACATTTGAGTCAAGCTGATCTGGTAGGTCATTTATGTACAAGAGGAAGAGCAATGGTCCCAGGACGGTTCCATAAGGGACCCCAATCGCTACTTTAACTGGAGCCGGCGCCTTCCCCTAAACCACTACTATTTGCTCCCTGTTGGTGAGGAAAGCCTTTAACCATTTCAGCGTAGGGCCTTGGATTCCATAATACTCCAGTTTTGAAATGAGCCTGTCATGGGGGACTTTGTCAAAAGCTTTAGTGAAATCGAGTATTGCTAAACATAACTATATGTAACTATATATAGATAAAGAGCTTAGATGTCAGACACAAAAGTCATGAATAGTTTTTGTCTTATATTTGATTAATGCCCGTCGCTTTACGTACCGCTTTTTATTTCCGAACATTGTAAAATTGACACATTTATATGAACTATGAATCATGACTCAAATTTAATGATGCATTTAAAGGTGACAGGCCTTAGAATGAGAGAATACAGGGTCTAGGGATAATCTAACTTAACGATACCTGGATTCCAACGGTTTCGTCCATGGAAAAGTTACCGCCGTGTAAGTCTGAGAATGATGGGACCCTGACCAACGAGTCACTGTCTCCGCTGACAAGATAGACCTTCTCCGAGGGATCCGTTTGGTTTTCCCGTTGAATTCTAACGTGTATCTGTGAGCAGCATTTCAAATTATATCATTTTATTCAACTATAATTATTAGGATTACTCTGCTAGATTGAGGCAGCCCAGGCTTGTATTTTTCTATTCACATATATTTATTGAGCATTAGGCACTAAACACGAGAGTGTTTTAGCTGAGGTTGGATGGGATAATTTGACTGACAGAAGGATGGTTTTGCACCACAGTATTTACAATTAAGATCTTATTCCATCACGTATTCGTGATTTTGTAAACAAAACATACCCTCCTCAACATGACCTCTTCCCTCCGAAAACAATGTATATAACTTTACTTGCTAAACATTAATATCACTCCATTGCTAAGTCTTAATATTGATTCAATCAATATTTATGTATGTTTGCATGTTCTATGTGTCTGTATATTTTGTTCAACGTGGTGCCCAAGATCAGCCATCTACTGCCTGGCGAGCCACTGCATTGTATTGTCAAAATTCCGAATAAATAAACAAACAAAAATATTAAGTTTGAGATGATCTAGTAATAAGGAGGTTGTGTATGATCAGAAATTTTGCGTTTGGCATGTCACATGGATAAACACATTGGCAAATTTGGTTTACTGCTACAGTAATATTCCTCATGTGTTTAGCCATGATTCAGTATGCTATGTTTTTTGTAATTATGATCTGTTGGAAAATAACTAATACGTCTACAGAAGATGAGAATTGTCTCATATGTGTCATAAAAAATTACATGTGAACAATGTGTGTATGTTTGAGATTTTTAGTCTGTACCTGACGCATGGAGATGTCTGCGAAAAGATGCACATCCGGGTACCAAGGGAAAAGGTTGTTAAGGTAGATATCGTCCATGATGTCCAATGCTTGAAACCCAACGGTGGTGGCTTCTTGGTTCTACATAATCATAGTGATGTATTCAGATCGTTATTATATCTTATTACTAATAAAAAAACCTGAATCATCATAACAGGCGACTGGAACATTTACAGAGCTACGAATAGGATATAGGGATGTTCTTCTTAAGATCTTACACAACCGGTAGCGTTTCTTACCTACTTGAACCGGGACGAGAGGGGATACAGACTTAGCCACGTTTCGTATTATGTTCTCTCCGCAAAAGCTCCACATTAATATTGGCTACATATAGCGGCGAGAAGCATTACTCCAGTCAAAACCCTAAGGAAAATGTGTAAGAGACATCTAAACGTAAGCAGGCGAGAAACGTTATCGGTTGTTTAAGACGAAACACTCTATATCCTATATACTCGTTATGTCCTACCAGCCTAATAAGTATTTTGGGGGGAGCTACGAATAGTTCGCCTTAAAGTCCCTGTCACACATTCACGACCATCCTAAGAATTTCAATTATTTCAATTTTTGCTGAAAAAAATGTTGAACAAAATGCTTCTTTTAAAAGCATGTTTGCTATAGACATGCCATATTGATAACAGGTTACTAACATTTTGCAGGTTGGTTGTGTAAGTTTCTCCATCATGATGCTCCAAAGCGGCCATGTGGTGAGAAGCTATAAACACGTTTACAACCCCTGTAGATTAAACAACGGTTGACACTGTACTTTTGTACATGTCTTGTTATACATTGCCTATTTTAACAATGTAAGATCATATTAGAAAAAAAACTAAATAATTTAAATTTTAGAGATGTTTGCGCATGTTATGTTGCCAAGTACTACGTTTATGTAATTGTAGATTAGTAATAAATTTCATTTTTTTAAAGTCCGGCCCTTGTACCTAACTGATAATTTCCGGGAAATTAATCTTTGTGATATTTATCGAAAAATTTCGAAATTGATTTCGTGAAATTTTAAATAAAGTCTTAGAAAAGAGGTGAAGATGGGAGAGTCTAAAGGGAGATAGGTCAGATGATAAGACAACAAGTTACTCTATTCGTATGTTGTCTATTGAATATAGAACTTGTTTTAACAAAGACAAATTACCACAACAATTTGAAAAAAAAACAGACATCAAAGAACAAAAAAATTACCTGTGAACATAACTGCTGTTAATCCGTTAACATCCTTCACGGAGCTTACTTCCAGGTTTCTTGCCAGTTCCCTTGTTTCATAGAATGTGTTTTTTAATGTGTAGGAAGCTAACACCTGTAAATATGCAGGGGGCAAGACAGTGCGGGTATCAATTCTATATATATTTAATCAAATCGGTCCAAAGATAGCAGGACGGCAAAATGTGGGATGGCACACATTAAACGTACACAAAATTTTACATACTATGTTCGTCCCACTGTCTGTACTAATTTGCAATCAACAACATTCAAAATCAAGGCCATGAAAGAAAAATAATATTACCAAAATATAAATATACAGTGGTCCACTTACCTGTGACTTTCCCGATACCATCTCAGTGACATTTCACGGCACGAAAAACGATATTTACGGATGCTTAAACTATGCTTAAAGTCAACGTATATTCCGTCTTTACGCATCTATACACGTTTTATACGGGTACGTAAAGATCGACGTTACGTGGTCTTTCCGTAGGTGCGGATGGATCCTTATTTTCCGGTTTTCACGTAGCCTTTAAGCACTTAAAGATGTCTTAAATAATGATAAAGATAGTCTTAAATTGTATGTAAAGTTGACGTATTTTTATTATTTAAGCATTTTTAAGGATGATATACGTATGTGTAAAGATGACGGATAGGTGCGGATGGATCCTTATTTTCCGGTTTTCACGTAGTCCTTTAAGCAACTTAAAGATGTCTTAAATGATGATTAAAATATTTTAAATTGTAAGTAAAGTTAACGTATTTTTATTGTTTAAGCATTTTTAAGGGTAATATACGTATGTGTAAAGATAACGGATAGGTGCGGATGGATCCTTATTTTCCGGTTTTCACGTAGCCTTTAAGCACTTAAAGATGTCTTAAATAATAATGAAAATATTTTTAAATTGTTAGTAAAGTTGACGTATTTTCATCATTTAAGCATTTTTAAGGATAATATACGTATGTGTAAAGTTGACGGAAAGGTGCGGATGGATCCTTATTTTCCGGTTTTCACGTAGCCTTTAAGCACTTAAAGATGTCTTAAATAATGATGAAAATATTTCTAAATTGTAAGTAAAGTTGACGTATTTTCATTCTTTAAGCATTTATTACGGCTCATATAAGTGTGTGTAAAGATGACGGATAGGTGCGGATGGATCCGTATTTTCCGGTTTTCACGTAGCCTTTCAGCTGCTTAAAGTTGTCATAAATACTTTTTAAAATGCTCTTATAACGTATTTAAAGTTCGCGTTTATTTCTAATTGAAGCACTTTTACGGCCAATATACGTGTGTGTAAAGGTAATCATTTGTTGCGTATATGGTGCTTATTTTTTGGATTTTCAGTTGACTTTCAGCAGCTTAAACTGCGTCTTTATTACCCATAAAGTATGCGTAACGTTGGCGTATTTTGTTGCATTTACTTGCCGTTTATTCTGCGTATGTCAGAGGTATTTGTGGCATTTTGGTGTCCAGTCCTGTCGTGGTTTGGGTGGGCTATCTTCGGGCCTGCCGTCCTGTTGAAGTTAGGCTCCCTGGATAGAGTTTAGCGGCACGATATCGATGCGAAACATACCGGGGAGCCTGGCTTACTCCGGCGGCGAAGAGGTCCTGGATCCCCAAAGAAAGCCGCTTCATACCCGGTAGACTGGAAACCAGGCTAGTGACCAAGTCGTATAGTCTTTGTTCTCGCTGATGCAGCCGGCTGAGCTCGAGCGATAAGTCACTGTGTCCGTGCAAAGTTCCTTCAAGATTCTGCGCTGTATCCAAGTCTAGAATTCCGAATCCAACGTCGCTAGGCAAAGGTAGAGTTTACTTTGAAAGAACCATTTGTCCATTTGGCCACCGCAGGCTTGGAGAAGTAATCCGCTCAGTTTCGCGAATACAGATACCGATATGACTCCCGGTCTTGGTCGCCGATACAAATATACGGTCGTGATGTTTTCTCATTCCGTGCCGTGCCGTGCCGTGTTCCATATCTCCACTCCAATCCGTTTTGTAGACTTGTACAGAACGAGGACCATGTGCCCTAGTTTTGTGTCCGTTCCGTCGGGGTTCAGGGTGATTAAAACCAACTGAATCTCGTCCATAACCTGCAGTGAGTCCTGATGGAATTGGTCCAATCTTCCATCCCGTACTTGTCTTCAAACAGGCGCCCTGTAAAATGCTAGCCCTGGTGCTTGCGTCTTGCATATCCAGTAGATTTCAAAATCCCACCGTTGTCTGTCATTGGATAATACCCTGTCACATGACACACCATCTGGCAGATATCGGCTCCCCCATATGGCGATTATCTTGCATTTGAATCCCTGTGTTGTTTTTTCACAGCTTGGCACTGAATAAATTTACATTTTGAAAAACACCATGCCTTGTCAGCGCATCTTACCGAAACACACTGCAGATACTGTTTTGTTGCATGTTTTTATAAACAACTTTTTACATTTACATTCATTTCTCATTAAATTCGCCGCCGACAACTGATTTGTCCATCCTGAAACAACGGTCTTGTACTTTCACACCCGAATTGTCCACCTAAAAATTCCAGGACGGAGTACGTAACATCATAAACATGTTACGGACGGACAGTATTTTCCTGTTTGAATACATAGACGAAATAGAATAACGTAAAATTATACTTTTGGGGATATATGAGCTGAAGGGAAGAGATCACCTCCCGTTTTAATACCTAAAATTCGCATGGGTTAAGATTAAACACGTCGTATGTTTGCTGAATAAACGCATCGTTTCATAGAGGTTTTGGGAACATATAAGCCAGTGTCATTTAAAATACGCGTACAGAAAAATTAAACACGTCGTATGTTTGTTGAATAAACGTTACATTTCCTTTAGCTTTCGGGAACATATAAGCCAATGCGCGTAAGGTAAGATTAAACACGCCGTATGTTTGTTGACTAACCGCTACGTTTCATATAGCTTTGGGGAATATATAAACCAACGTCACTCAAAATGCGCGTATGGAAAAACTAAACACGTCGTATGTTTGTTGAATAAACGCTACATTTCCTTTAGCTTTCGGGAACATATAAGCAAACGTCACTTACAAAACTCGTAAGGTAAGATTAAACACACCGTATGTTTGTTGAATAAACGCTACGTTTCATGGAGTTTTTAGGAATAAATAAGCCAACGTCACTTAAAATGCGCGTAAGGAAAAACTAAACATGTCGTATGTTTGTTGAATAAACGGTATATTTCATATAGCTTTCGGTAACATATAAGCTAACTTCACTTAAAGTACGTGTAAGGTAAGATTAAGCACGTCGTATATTTGTTGAATAAACGTTACATTTCATATTGCTTTCGGTAACATATATGTTAACGTCACTTAAAGAACTCGTAAGGTTAAGATTAAAAACGTCGTATATTTGTTGAATAAACGCAACGTTTCATAGAGTTTTTGGGAATATATAAGCCAACGTCACTTAAAATGCGCGTATGGAATGTTTAAACATGTGGTATGTTTATGGAATAAACGTTACATTTCATGTAGCTTTTGGGAGCATATAATCCAACGTCACTTAAAATACGCGTATGTAATGATTAAACATGTGGTATGTTTGTTGAATAAACGTTACATTTCATATAGCTTTTGGGAGCATATAATCGAATGTCACTTAAAATACGCGTATGGAAAGATTAAACACGCCTTATTGTTGTTGAATAAACGCTATATTTCATATAGCTTTTGGGAATATATAAGCTAAAGGGGGGAGGTTCTCCCCCGTTCGCTTAAAGCGTGCGTAGAGAAAGATTAAACACGTCGTTTATTTGTTGAATAAATGCTACCTTTCATATGACTTTTGGGAACATATAAGCTAAAGAGGGAAAGTCTGCCCACTGTACACTGAAAGTGTGCGGAGAGGAGGATTAAACACGTCATATGTTTGTTGGTAAGCCATGAAAACATAAAAATTTTTATATTTGCGTGCACCGAGGTCTGCTACAATTCATGTCAGGCGTTGAAAGGAAACAGAGTTCTAGGCACAGGCTCTAATTTACGCGGCGTCTTTTCCGTCTTGCTTTAAATTGTGCGTAGAAAAAACATAAAAATATACCTGATTGATTTACTCATGTTTCAAATTTCAAATTTCAAGTTTTGAAACAGAAATACAAAACATTTCCTGTACCTTTCTGGGACATACAAGTTTAACATGTTTGTCGTAACTGAATATTTCAGTATCTGTAAACCGTGCGTAAAGAAACATGCCGTAATACGTTACATTTACAACTGCGAAAATCCTTCGTAAAGATTAGATTTCTTTTTCAGTACACTTTAATTGATCTTAAAGTCTGCTTAAATATTTCCCTGTCTTTAAAGTCTCAATACGGATGTCGTAAATTTTGCTTAAATATCTGTTTTCGTGCTGTGTTTGTTACCATGGTAACGGACAGAGACACACCCCATATGCTCTCTTTGTCTGGTGTTGGCACCCTCCATAGTGCGTATATTACTTTGTCTGTTACCTTCACAAAAATGCTACAGATAAATGGACCTGCCTTGTACATGTATAGGTAATTCTCTTCCCATTACGATATATGTTATTTCTAAAATTCTTGATACAATGGTGATATAACATGTTAACATAGACATAATGGTGATATATTAAGATAATGATTTGTTTGAAAAAAAAGCTCCTTACGTCCAATTTGACCTTAAAGGGAATATATTACTACATTTGAATAACAAATATCTCCTATGGCTTCTACATTTATTCTATACACAATAGAAAAGATCTTTAAAGAAATCAGCAATATCACACCTTTTTAGGGACTATGCGAAATCCTATTTTCGTTGTTAAATAACGGCCATATTTCAAATCATACCTCCATTGTGTCGTGCCCATTGCTGGACAAGTGTCTTGTCACATATGAGGCCACGAGGGATCCTGTTAGAACGTTTTCCATATCTCCTATATGGATCTGTGTGAAGAAGGTGCCGTTTGGGTAGGTCATGTAGTCATCAATGTATTCTTCGAATTGAGAGATACTTGGAAAACGTATCTGTAGGGCAAACATTATAGACATCAGGTTTATTGTTTTCGATGTAATCAGGCACTTTTATAATCATCTGACAATAATAATAAGCACAGAAAAATTTGACATCTAGGAGCATGTAATATTTAACCATAAGTGTATATGTATAATTTGATAATCAATGTTCATCAATAAGCTTCATTATACAGTTGTATATCATAGGGCATAAAGCGTATACCAACCTCCTTTTTTATTTAAATATATTTCAACAATGAAGAGATACATGTATCAGTAAAAACGTACTATCTTAGGCATCCACAATTTAGATACTTCAGGTGCTTAAGACAATCATTATCACACTTGTATGATAACGATGCTATTTCCTTTAATATTTGGTTATAAGCTAAGGGTACACTTTACATTTATAATAGTTGACGTTGCACCAACCTGAACTGGTGACATGTCAAACTCGATGAATCTACCGTCCACTGACGAAACGCGGACATGAACATTCAAAATGCCAGGAAACACGTGAAACAAAAATGTATAAGGTACCTGGGAAGTAGAAAAAGAGATTCAGGAAAAAATATTTCATTTACAATTTCTCATTAGTCTGTAAAAAGTACAAATATAAGAGTACAGATATACAAAGCTCAACAACCTGTGCCTAGGACAGAAATGTATAAGAACTTCCCACTGTGACTTTTTCAGCAGCTTGCATTGTGAAGTTCCCCAATAACTACATAAACACAAAAGCACCTACAGACTGTATAGCCGCTATTAACATATTATTGGTCATTTTTAAGTGCATCCAAATTTTTGGTTGGTTTTCGAAGTATGATTCATGCAGAATCATGCAGAATCATGCAGAATCATCGATATAATTGCTAAGTTAAATACGTCGATTAAGGTTAGACACCCAGCTAGTTAGATACGCCAAAAAGCAGTTACGCGTGCAGGTTTATAAACACAAACTATTGATTGATATGCAAATAAGTGAAGACAATTTTTGTTAGTCCAAAAAGGAACAAAAGTTAGACAAGTCAATACAAGATGATGGAAAATTAGTCAAAGAGCTCCTATTGTGCAGAACAGGAGCTTAAGTGCTGTTTGTGTTTGAGCCTGGGAGCGCCAAAAAATCAAGTGCCTGAGTGATCCACCCGAAGTCCCATATCTCTGTTGAGGGTGGGGTTGTACATTCTTTCATATACTGCCTCTTTAATAGTCCGTTCCCACCAGCGTGTTTCGCGGTCTAAGATATCCATGGCCTCGAGTTTGAAAGAGTGACCCTGGTTGTGTTGTAGGCTGTGGAAAATGGCTGAGGAGTAGCCGTTAGCACTAGGTCTGCAATGTTCTTTGTACCTTACTTTGAGCGGTCGACTCGTCTCTCCGATGCAGGTGTTGTTACAATTGGGCTCCTCATATTTAAGTCTGTAAATAAAATTCGCCTTTTTTTTTTGTACCTTTGTGAGGTCGATCCTTAGGGTGTGCCAATTTTTGTCTGAGGGTTGAGTGAGGTTAGTGGCTATGTTGAAGTTTTGGAAGATCAGTCGGATCTTCTCAGATACTCCTTGCAGTCCTTGGACATACGGAATGGTGATGTTGGCCTTGTTTTTGTTTGTCAATGGTTTGCACTTCCGTGTTTTCTTACTCTTAGACTGATCTGAAGGTTTTAGAGCTTTATTGAAGGTTACGTTTTGGTATCCAAACTTAGCCAGGGCACCTCGGAGGTGTCTATGTTCGTATGTTTTGGCTTGGTCTGAAGTGATAATGTTGTCTGTGCGATGGGAGAGAGTTTTGATCACTGCTAGTTTGTGTTTCAAAGGGTGGTGGGAATCAAAGGCCAGGTATTGATCAGTGTGGGTCAGTTTCCTGTAAACTTCAAAGTGAAGGTTGCCATCTTTCTCTACGATAGTTTTGGTGGCCAACATCACCATTCCTTATGTCCTAGGAGTATCTGAGAAGCTCCGACTGATCTTCAAAAACTTCAACATAGCCACTAACCTCACTCAACCCTCAGACAAAGGATCGACCTCACAAATGTACCAAGGCGAATTTTATTTACAGACTCAAATGTGAGGAGCCCACTTGTGACAACACCTACTTAGGAGAGACCAGTCGGCCGCTTAAAGTAAGGTACAAAGTACAAGGAACATTGCAGACCTAGTGCTAACGGCTACTCCTCAGCTATTTTCCACCACCTACAACACAATCAGGGTCACTCTTTCAAACTCGAGTCCACGGATATCTTAGACCGCGAAACACCCTGGTGAGAACGGGGTGTTAAAGAGGCAATATACGAAAGAATGCACAACTCCACCCTCAACAGAGATGGGGGACTACGGGTACATGTAGATCTCTAAGACAATGTTTTTTGGCGCTCCCAGGCTCAAAGACAGACAGCACTTAAGCTCCTGTTGTGCACAATAGGAGCTCTTTTACTAATTTGCATCATCTTGTATTAACTTGTCCAACTTTTGTTCCTTTTTGGACTTCCCAAAAATTGTCTTCACTTTGCTTTTTGGCTAAGTAAGATAACCTTTTAGGATTGTGGAAAACAATCTTGTGCTCACATTTCAACGTTCATATCAGCCCCCGTAAAGCTGTTTCAAAGTTTCTAATGTTTTTCTCACATCTGAATTAGCTTTAATAATGTCTAGAAATATGTCCTGTAATTGCATTTTGTATCCGTATTTGGTAGTCTAAGATACTAGTATACATGGACACTAGAGTTCTGTAGAACTGTATCGTGTGTCAGATGTCAGGCACTACTGGCAGAATATGCCAGCGTTGTCATTACCTTATATATATCGGTAGGTAAAGCTAACTTCTTTATATACAACCATACTTTAATTACTTATCTGTTAAACATTTCAAAGTGTCTTAAAAAAATCAAATTGTCTTAGCCACTGTCTCAGCAAAGGCCTCAACCAATATGATCACCATGGCTGTCAGTGGCAGACTGAAGTCCCAAAATTTACGTTAGCTGAAATTATTGCTATATTGGTAATTTTTGTTGTAAAGGTTTCCTCTTTAAGCATGAAAAGTATAATATTACCCAAAACGAATAATATTACCCAATAACGAAGCGGCGGTCGGATGAATTCAGTGTCGGTAGGAGGTGTGTCTCCCGGGAACTTTACCGTAGCCAGGTCACCTGTGTCCGTCACTTGACGCAAACTGAACTCTGTTACAAGAGGACCCAGTGGATCTACAAACTCTAAAGTACAAAAGAAATTACATTATTTTTACTTCCGGGAAGGTAGTATTGTGTGGGCGGAGATGATAAGGGAACTTTCAAATGGAGATTGGAACCTAGTGGGTGGAGATTGGATTTCAGTTGCTTGACAGCGTTGTGATTTGATATGCCCTAGGTGGCACGATATTATATGAGGTCGTCAAAAATGTGTACTTTGTAATCATGGTATGAAACATAAAACATTGTGCAATACGTCATACAATCGTGTAATAATATATTCTATGTCAGTAAGTATGTATGTGTATGCGTATGTGTATGTGTATGTACGCATGTGGTCTTTATGAGAGTTCAAGCAGCTCCCTAGCGGCTTGTTATGGTATTGAGCTGAACTTCCGGTTTTGACATCTCATGATCAAGACAAGGTAGGGTCACGAATTTTGGATGGGTAACTCATTCTGACTATTGAAAATTATGACATAATGTAATTGAGAATGAGAAGAACATCGGCAGATATTAATTATGAAAGTGAAGAGCTAATTTGCATGATTTATTAGAAAATACTATGATTTCATGGTGGTAACTGCTGTGAATCTCGTACATACCGCATTTAGAAAGATTAACATAACAGAACGTATTCAAATCAGACCTGATTTGCATGATTGATATGAGGGAATGTAAGAATGCTAGATAAAACTGTTGTTTGTTACAAGTTGGACCATTTCGGTATGAATGGGTTTTTTTTCTACACAACGTAAGAGGTTTTGAATGCCTTTGCTAAAGTTAAACTTAGAAAAGTATTTTGTCCGGCAATGATGAAGAGAACCTATCAATCTAAAGATGATATTACTAGCAAAACTTGCACCTTGACATTCGACGCAAAATTTGTCAATCAAAGATATGCCACCCGCTGGGAGAAGGACACAGACATCTGAGAAGTCGCCGTTCTCTGCTGACGGGACTGTCGGGTTGGCGGAAACACGAAACCGCCACTCTGAGATCCTTGTCTGGTCATCGGACACATCACTGAACCGGACAGTGTAAAATCCTTCCGCCTGAGATTACATTTTATTTTGTGTTATAAACTAGTTCTAGAATTTAAAAAAAAATCTTAAATAAAAGGGTTTGATAAAAAAAACATTTTATATCAATGAAGTGCTGGGCGCCATGCTGGTTGCAATTTTTGAAGGTACGGTCAATTAAGTAACTAATAAAGTATACAACAATTGTGTTTTTTTTTTACATTTTATTCTGCTTTTTCTGAATAGATGCAGTGTGCTAATAAGGTACAATGAAATTCCGGATTGCTCAGTATGTACTTACATAAAAATGCTTATAAACAAGCATACTTGGAGAGAAACAAACACACGAGTAAACAAACCAATTATATAAACCGATTATATATTCACAGAGCGTACCTGGAAGACACCACCAGGAATCCTCAGTCGTATGTTTGAAGCATTTTTCGACTGATGCCAGTTTTGGAGCAGGAAGCCGACAGGATGTTCCTCTAAAGTGAACTCCGTCGTACCCAGGATTTCAGAAGCTGTGTAGAGCTGAAGTGGCTTGTGTTGTAACGTGTTACCGGGGTTGCAATTTTCTTCACATCTTTATAAATAATAATAATAATAAATGGTTTTTATTGTCCAAACAGTACCCGTGCAGTCGCAGCCTTTATACGGCTGAATTGATGCAGGGTATCACATAATAATCAATACAAATCACAACAATTACAACAATCAAATATTACACATGATACACATATTTTTTCCACAATTATTTTTTGTGGAACTGTCGCAAGGGTCTGTGCGGCTGCCATTCGGCGCCACAAGGTGACCTCAATACGACTTTCCCCAACCGAAGTTAGGTACCCATTTACACCTGGGTGGAGTGGGGAAATTCGTGTAAAGTGCCTTTCCCAAGGGCACAACGTCGGGGCGCATGTTTAGACATGTACCGGGTACGACTCGGAATCGAACCCGGGTCTTCTTGGTTCATAGTCGATTGCTCTGACCACTGCGCCACCCGACGCCACGAGTATTCACGTACAGTGTCTAAAACTAACTTAAGGGTAGATAAGATTTTTTTGGGGTCTATGTTATGTCAACGCATTTTTAGTAAAATTGAAATGAATTTACATGAAATGAATATATAATTAATGTATCTTAAAAGATACAGTCTTCTTAAATTCTGCTTCTATGTGTAGTTCTTTTGCCGGCGACAGAATTAATGTAATCACATATCATCGGTTAGATAATTCCAGCCAAATCTGTCGTACGTCTTTTAAAGTAGGTGATTCCGGTATAGTTTGGCTTAATTTCAACCATCTGGTCCATACTAAATCAAACATGCCAACCAACTAAAGGAATACAGATGTCATTACTTGAAAATCTGCGTTAAAATAATAGTCTCAGTAGAAAGGTTTCGATCGGAATCTTTCTCTTTCTCTCTCTCTCTCCTCTTTCTCTCTCTCTCTCACGCACATACACAGAGTCAGAGAGGCAGACAGAGAGAAACATAATGTGCAGATTTTTCTTACTCCAGTTTGAGTTCTGATAAGCTGGCGTTCGTGGCCACACGAGCTACTGTGTACGCTTCTTGAGAAGGTAGATCCCCAGCTTTTACATGGACACTGATGTTCACGGCAGCGCCCAATGGTCGTTCCGGAAAGTTTGATGGGGACCCGTACAGCAGCTCTCCCGGGGGTGAACTGTCTAGCTGGGGCCCAAGCACGTGACAACAATCTAAATAGAGAAACAACCAGTTTTAAATGTTTATTTTATTCTATATAAATCTTTGTACCTTATTCCCTGTGTTGAACATACCGTTAGTAGCATCATGTTTGACCGATCAATGCAAGATGAACTGCTAAGTTTGGAACTTGCACATCGCTGACGATTGTTTCATCGGTTTGATTTTACGAAGCAGTTGAAAAAAGAAGTTTGTAATTCGTTTATGTTACATATTTTAAAGATGACGGTCTAGTTGGCATTTGGTTGTGTCTTTTTCTATGATGTTTAACTGACTTACCCAGATATGTTATGTCGTTAATATAAACTTCCACTTCGCAGAGGAATTTCCTGTGACCTTCTCCTGACATGAAGAGACCAACGTATTGCGCAAGAATACTGTTTCCATGAACTGTCATTGTTGTTTGTTGTTGGGTTAAATTGAGACTGCTAGCGACCAAGGTATTCTCCGTCAGCTGTGCTGAGTTCCCCATGTAAACATCGAGCGGGTTCAGAGAGTCCCAGTGGTCATCAGTTCGACCGTAGATGACAATCCTGTTTAACATCAATTTATAATATCATGATGATATTGTATAAATGTGGTGTTCTTGTCCGTATGTGACAGCTGACAGACCAGACAAGTTGAACAATGTTAAAAATTGGAAAATAATTTCTTTGTCACATCCACTTTAACAAAAGCAACGTTAACGTTTTAATGACATTTATGACTGGTTTACTGTGCACTGAAGCTAGGTGTTACTGATAACCTGTGCACCAAAGACTGGCGGTATTGCTAACAACGTGCACTGAGCCAGTAACACCTAACTTGAGTGTACAGTGAAGCAGTCACAATTTCCCTGATGAAAATGACAGACGGTCATCGAAACGTCTACTCTTGTTAAAGTGGTAATGAATAAATTCAATCAATCACCAACCCGATGAAAGTATTCACAGTAGGTACATGGCTCGCCAACATAACACAAAACTTTGATGTTACTTAGATCCCAAGTGTTTCAATAAATGTGTTAAGATAGCATTAGTACTGTTCTAGTATATATTAAGCAAACATCACGTGAAAGAACAAATATCATTTAGCTGGCTTACTCAAGTCTCTCTATTTTACCTCTCAAGACAAGTACATCACGATAAGTCATTGTTCTGTGTATAATACTTGTATCCAGATCGCACCTGTCAATCGGGCTCGGGTGATTCAAATCTACCATCCACCACTCATTTCCACTTTGCTGCAGTTCAAAGACGCAAGAAGGTAGTTGTCCGCCGTTGTTCCCGTCAATGACCATGTCCGGAGTGCCTGTGACCGAAGAGCTTGCTGTTGCTGTCGCCTTGCATCGAGCTATGTTGACTGTTGATACGTCAAGTGATGGGGCTGCATTTTTTGTAATGCAATCGTTAGTACTACAATAATAATAGGAATTAGTCTTAACAGAACAGTTGCAGAATGTATGTTTCTTTCTTTTTCCGCCTCTCCGCCTCTCCAAGTGTTCTCTCATGTTTCTTCTCCTCCTTCTCCTCCGCCCATTCGGTAAAATGGATTTATGTATTTTTATATTTTTTTATCTAAATGACCTGAAATTAAGCATGGACGTAGAGTGGACAAATACCCCAGGCATTTTTTATACAGGACTTTAAAATGGTTTTATTGACGTTGACCAACATACAGAACAACGCAATAGCCACTTAACCAGGTCCAAACCAAAAACATAACCTTCTGACAAAGGCAATAATATTTTTCCCGATCCGATGACGTGCACATTATAAGGAATAAAGACGTTAAAATGACAACAATGAAAATGCAGTGCTTGCCAGAAGGCATTATGCTTTCCTCCTCATCTTTATAGGTGTAAAGTGAAGTCTGAAATGAACTTACGCAGCTCCACCACCTTACATGTCCATTTGTAAGTAAATGTGTCAGTACTAAGAACCCCTTCCGGATCGTAGGACAGGCTAGCGTCAATCCGGATGTCTCCGGATGCCGGTACGGTTCGCACGCTGCTGCCCACGCTGGCGACGATCGGCTGGCTGGTAAACTTTACCCACGTCTGCGCAGCAGTAATGAAAACATCACTGTTTCCTGTTAATTTTCTGGTAACCCGGAACTGCATGATGGATAAAAAAAAATCAGATGGAAAGAAAAAAAAATTACAGGACTTTCTTATTTGTAAAGCAATTAGAGTTAGCGCCCACCATCTCGAAGTCGAGAAAGGGTGGTATGAAAATGTTACTTGTAGGGGAAAAAATTTGTAAGTACTGTATGTCAAAGTGGTCCAACTGTCATTTCACGATCTGGAAAGAAAAAAAAAGGTATAAAAAAAGCCACCAAATTTCACCACAACTTCCAAAATTTTACTGATCAAAGAGACCAAAGCCCTGTTAAACTTTCCAAACCCACCCATTGTGAAAAAGCTGTGACACTTCGTCTTCGAGTCTACTGCTTTTAAAAAGGAAGTCAAAACCAAAAGAAGTTTATAGTTAAAACTTTTGTTCCAACACAAAAAATTCTCTCACCTAGAGCTTTTCACCAGTCACTCTGGCCTTCCACAGTAGACTGACCCAGTGAATCTTGTCATGTGGCTTCTTTGAAGTGTGACGTAAACATTGGGTCATAGGTATCTGGTAGACGATGTCAACCCCAGCCGCGGTTCAATGTAGGGTGATGGGCACTGATGTACATTTTTATGGCTTCCTTCACCCCTCTCAAGAAATAGTCTTGTTCAGTGTCTAAAATCCTTACAGTGTCAAGTGAAATAAAATGACCGGGTGACTCTATGTGGATGTGTTGAGACACCTCTGAACTGGCAGAGCTAGGCCGTGTATGTTCTTCAAACCTGGCTTTTAGAGACCTCCCTGTTTCCCCAATATACTTTTCCTGGCAGGGCCTCTTGTTGTTTTTGCCCTTGTTGTTTTTGCCCATCAGGTCCTTGATGTATGGAAGGACTACCAACCCCTTGGACTTTGTTCCTGCTGAGGGTTTAGACCCTGACATTAAGTTCACTCCTGAGCAGGAACGGAACAGATCTTTAGCCTTTCTTGACACCCTTACAGTGATACAGGAAGATTGGTCACTACAGATAAGGATTTACCTGAAACCCACACACACGTATCAATACCTAAACTTTGACTGTAACCATCCACTTGACCACAAGGGGTGATTAGGACTCTATTCCACAGAGCCAACATCATAGTGTCAGATCCACAGGATTTAGAGACCGAGAAGTCCCATCTAACCCAAGCATTAAAAACTTGTGGCAACCCCCAGTGGGCCATTAACAAAGCGACCTGCCCCAAACCACCCAACACCAAACCCTCAGCAGGAACAAAGTCCAAGGGGTTGGTAGTCCTTCCATACATCAAGGACCAGTCTGAAGCTCTCAGGAGGATTTTCATTTCCCACGGGATTGCAACTTGTTTTAAACCAACCACTACTTTAAGACACATTCTTGTTGCGCCCAAGGACAGAACCCCCAAAGAGAAGAATTGTGGTGTCATGTACCACATCCCCTGCCAGGGCAAAAACAACAAGAGGACCTGCCAGGAAACGTATATTGGTCTCTAAAAGCCAGGTTTGAAAAACATACACGGCCTAGCTCTGCCAGTTCAGAGGTGTCTCAACACATCCACATAGAGTCACCCGGACATTTTGTTTCACTTGACACTGTAAGGATTTTAGACACTGAACAAGACTATTTCTTGAGAGGGGTGGAGGAAGCCATATACATCAGTGCCCATCACCCTACATTGAACCGCGACGGGGGTCGACATCGTCTACCAGATACCTTTGACCCAGTGTTGACACACTTCAAAGAAGCCACGTGACAAGCTTCACTGGGTCAGTCTACTGAGGAAGACCAGAGTGACTGATGGAAAGCTCTAGGAGAGAGATGTTTTTGTTGGAACAAAAGTTTTAACTTTAAACATGTAACTACCAACACAGATTAACTTTAATGATAAAACCAAAAGAAGTTCAGTTTCTAATTGGTCACTTGTTCCACTTGTCACCATTGCACTGTCTCTATACTCTATACATTGTGTCATGTTGCAATCAGTCTTAGGGCATGAATTTGCAAATAAACGTATGAAACGGAAGCCTGGGTGTTTCGGGCATTATTGTGCCTTCGTTCTCTCGATTGCTTTGGTTTCTTAGTGCGTGGGGGGAGATTATGATGGCCGTTAATTCATGCGATTACGCTTGAATGTGAGCAAGCACGCAGTGGCTGAGATGAAGTGTGTGTTGTAATACCCGAAGAAATTATATCATTTAAAAATTACACAAACGCTTTATGTGAACTTGAAGGTCACTAAAATTGAGAGTACTTTTTGGAAGTCTACGGTTTCCGATTTTTTTTTAAATATTATATTAATCAAATGATTCAAATGAGGGAACAGAATTTTTAGACACCCAAATGGCCTTTAAAACTGCTGGTCTGGTGGCCTAAATATAGGAGACGTGTTTTTAAACACTGTATTGGTATGGAAAGCAAAAAAAAAACGTATTAGACATTTGACTAGACATACCTGAATCATATACAGGCCTTCGTCCACGGTGTTTGCTCTAAGAAGCAGGTTTAGTTCGTTGTCTGAGGTGCCTTCTGGTAAAGCGTAGGACAAAACTGGCATTTCCGTTGGACATCTTCTGAACGCGAGATTATTCCAGACGCTCCAGTCTATGTCCATCTATGTAAGCATTAATCAAGAGTGGTCACAACCGAAAATTGCGAACAAATTAAATATGTTTTTTAAACAAAAGTCCTATCCACGGAACGCAACTGCATACAACGTGAGACCAGGTACACGTTCTAGTTAAGAAGAAACATGGCGTCACTTGAGTTTGCCTGATATATGGAACAAAGACGTAAACCTATAATGGTATTGTTAATTAAAGGTACTCCATGCTGAAAAGTCGTAGCCTTTGTACGGATAATTTCACATGAAAATACCATACAGAATTAAATAATCTACAAAAAGACAGTTTAACAAAGGCATTGTGGTGAACATTTCCCCTGACTCACATTTTTTAAATAATGCATGTGTAATAATTTCATATTTAATTACAAAATATGTTTTTCTGGTTTAAAGTCTAAGTGGTTTAAACTCTAAGTGAAGCATTGTGTCGGAACCAGTTACAAGCGGATTGGTCTCCACGGTCCTTTGTATGCAGCAAGTTCATTATATTGTCTCCTAATCTGTTTTTCATATACCGAAAGAAAACATAATCATAAGCCTGTTGATAGAATATTAGCCAGGTCTATATACCAAATAAAACAATCAAACTGCCCTTAAATACATCATGATACGTATGTAGTTTGTGCACAGTATGTTTGGTGAACGTTTTTTAATGGCAGAAAAAGCTGTGATTTTTAACTACACTTTATATTAGAAACGATGTATTTTCTACCTATGTTTTCATTTCAGACGCAAAATATGTGAGCAGATTAAAGTTGACCATCATGTATTATTTCTCTTACCGTGTAGTGTTCAGTACATTCTTCGACAGACACAAGGCCATGTATGGTTAAATCTCCAGTGCGATGCACAACAAGTGGACTACTCTCACTGTGGGGAGAAATCATTTCCATATTTTTGTACCCTAACAAGTCCTTAATAAAGGCTACATATTCATGTCATCCATGACCAAAAACACTGAAAAATTTAGTTGCTTAAATACGCATAAGGTAAACATATTGCAAAAAGTATTACTTTCAGTATTTTATCATAACAATACCTAAAGTATTGAACAAAATACAAACCAAAACGTAACTAACATAACATAAAATGGTTACGAACATCGTAATGAGCTACAGAATGATGGAACACACATGCCACGTACCTTTACAGACATGCAGTTCGTAGTAAAAGTAGAATATAGTTGTAGCAACCAACATAGATTTACCTGCGAATTCCTTCATGGATGTCAAGGTTGACATGACATCGTTGGTCATCTGGGGGTTTTTGCTCGCTGGTGACTTCCACTTTGCAATCCGAATGTGCAACTTGGGAAAGTGGCCATTGTGTGGGCCACGCTGCAGACAACATTTTGGTACGTATTGTGCGATGTAATTAATTGAAATGGTTAGTCAGTTAAATAATTATTACACAAATCATTTTTACGATCTTTCTGCATGGCTGTAATGACCATTTCTCGCCGCTAGATGGCACTGCGCCAAACGTTACTTTGTCTATTTCCCCTTCTTCAATGACTTTGGTTTATTTTCTGATCGCTTGAGAATAGAGGACAAAACTGGTAGGTCGAAGTGCTGTATAAAGAAGTCATTTTGGGGAAATACTTAGCATCGTGGGTGAAACGTCATAAGATGATGAGAGTTGTTTAACAGGCTAAAGCAACGTTTAAAGATTCTTATAATGGTTCTATTGGATGGTAACAGATTATTACATCACCTGGATTGCAATGTTTAATCAAATGAGCATGGGTTTGTACACATTGCAAAATATGCATTTTTATCTTTTATGCATTGTCCAAAATTATAACAATACAAAAACACTTTACGCTCACAGTTAGATGTATAAAGACTAGTTGTACAGTTCGTTGCAACATTGTCTCTACCTCTACCATTTAAACGATATTCATGATATATGTATTTGAAACTGCATGTCACAGCCACCCCAGCAAAATGCCAGCAACAGTCACGATAATAAAGTTGACACACCCAAGACATAGACTCCAAATCTAGTCCTTTAACAGTCACCATTTCAACTCAAGTATGCTCTATAGAATTTTTTTTATGCAAAGATAATTTTAATATTACATAAGGCCAAACAAATGTAATTAATTGGTTCTCGGATTCGCCCGCTTCGTTGTTTTTCTCTGATTTGCAAATACAAAAAAAAATTGAAAAAGATTTAGGCTCTGAATCAACCCCAACATGCCCATGTTATTGCCCAAACGGTGGAAACAAGCTGACCTTGTCTTTCTTGTTATTATAGCTTTTCCACGTACTGATGCTTTGGTTTGACAACAAGTTTAAGAAATTCATTGTTTTCATTAAGAACCCAGCCTGTTATGCTGACTCCTATAGCTTTTGGAGCATTTAGATGATTCCTAGGCAGTTTTACCTCCGGGGAAGGAGCTATAATTGTTCTGTGAAAGGGTTTAGGTAAGTGGTCGTCGTTTTCGTGTTCGCAGCTGTATCTCACTGTAAGGTGGACGGATTTGTTTTGTTATTTGGGCTGCAGATGATGCACGTCCATTTTGTTCAATTGTATATGTGTTTTAGGGCATTAAAATGAAACATTTTCACAGCCTCTGGACAACCCCGTTTCCGTGAAAATGGTCATGGTTTTATGGATATCGGCTGTTTTAAGGTATAGCCGGCTTGCTCCATTTTGAAAAAAAAAGGGAAAAAAGGGTGTCTGGTTCCTATAAAATTAGACAGAACGCAGGCGCAGGAGGGGCAGTTGATGTTCCTAATGCTAGACATCAGATACAACCGGGCGATAGCTAACTTTAATGGTTCAGGTTGACATTCGTTTCAACGCGCGTCCTAGGTAGGTCAAATAGAATCTCATAGTTTCATGTGTTGTGATAGAGATAACACAGATGTGCAAGTTATACGTTGCAGAAGGAAATGTTGACACCTGTTGGCACGGGGTTTCCTATATGATATGTGCTTTTGAGGTCCAGTTGCTTGATGAGGATCGGTTTTTTTTGTATCTGTGTTATCGAGTGTCGAAATAAGATTATGGAAGTCCTCTGGACACACTCGTGTGGTTGGTGATGGACTATAACATTCGTGGTTTGGGTTTTGTGATAGAGGACGCCAAAGTTCACCGTGCCCATTATTTTTGAAAATTGGTTGCAATGGGGGTGTTTTGCGGTGATAGACGTTTTCCTAGTAACGTTACGGTAGGAGAGAAGGCGTCATTTATCTGTTTCTTACGCACTGGAATGGTTCTATTAGTATGGCATCCTTTCCGTGTCAAAATTACGGACGTTAACAACGTCACTTTTTGAAGTCAATACCTCACTTTTTGGACAATATGTCACGTATCCAGGTCATACGTCACATATGGCCAAACGTCAAAATTACATACCTGTGCAGGTCCTGTAAAGCTGTAAAGAATATCATATATTAATGAGCAGGTACTACGTCCTGCATTGATACTCACCCCTGCTGGCCTGTCCGAAGACGTCAATACCAGTTGTATCCCAGTCAATCACGTTACCATGGTAACTACAGTCCGCTGCTATTTCGGCAGGAGACAGCACGCGGTCCCAGAGGTTCACTCCCGACAGCTCTCCAATGAATGACTGGCTTGCGTCGAATCCTCCCCCAAGTACGTCTTGGTCCTGACCGAGAATCCATATTCCGCCTGTGCGCACACTTCCTCCCACGTTAAACCCGGAACCTGAATCCGCCAGTGTGCCGTCAGCGTACAGCTGCCAGGCCCCATCACTGCTAAGCCAGGTAGTACATATGGTGTGCCACTCACCGTCCCAAACTGGTGGGTCAGCCATTTGGATGCCATTAAATTGTAAGGCTAACTGAAAAAAAATGACATGAGCTTATTTACAAGCCAAACGATTTCAAAATACATATTTCACTTTATACCATGGTATGGATACAACTTGTCTGTTTTCTCCCATGTCCGCCTCCTTTTGCCTTTTCTTCTTTTTTGTAATTTTTCAAATCCACATGACCATTTTGTATACAGGTAAAGTAAGCAAATACGGCACCTCTTCATTTTTTTCATGTAGGCCTTCAAAATTGTTTTATTACCTTCGTTATGTAGCTTGTACTGTGGGAGAAGAATGTTTAGATATGGGCATTCTAGTGTCTTTCTTAGGTATTGCAATGGCACTTTGATGTTTGACATTTAACTACCATCGACTGTTGATTCAGTATTGGGAGTAACAGATGTCACAATTTAATTTTCATGATTAAATAAATCCTTCTGCTTCACATACATATCCAGCATAAGCAAGCGATAGACAACGAGAGCCTACAATCGAAAGCGACTGTATACTTACTCTGAATCCACCATTCACGTAAAAAAAGAAAAGCTCGTTGTTGTGTTGTGGTACTGCGTAGCTGACAAAGCTAATCCAATTGCTGGTATCCATGTTGGAGCGCATGTGCGCACAGAGGGTGAAGCTTGCTAAGTCCTCAGACATTGTGGCCTCCATCCTGGCATAGTCATCAATGCCTCTTGGACCGGGGAATATGATCTTCTGTGAGTCGCCTGGTGCAACTAACAAAGGTTGAATGTGTTAATTAACGTAGCATTACGTTACGTTAATTTATGTATGTTACGTCACATCCGTCACAAACGTCATATTAATTATGCAAATTAGATCCCGATTTGCATAACTGTCATCTGATCGTGTCGAGCATCATTTAACCCTACCTAGACCGGGCTTTTTTTGACATGGGGGGACCGGGGGGG